GGTAAGTTCAGAACTCCCTTAATTGCATAGCAATGAACTTCCTTGCCATGAAGCAATGCCCCTACAGCAGCACAACCTGAAAGAACCGAGACAAGAGTAACAACATTTGATTTGGACCCACTAAGCTGCATTTGCCTAAACACATCCAGTGCTTCATGCCCATGCCCTCTTTGAGCATAACCTGCTATCACTGCACTCCAAGTCACAACATTAAGCTCAAATTTCTTCTCATTCATCCTCTGAAATATTCGAAGAACATCATCAAATCTCCCAATCTGAGAATACCCAGTAACCATCGCATTCCAAGAGACAACATCCTTCACATTCATACACTCAAAAACCTTATCAGCCTCATCCATCATTCCACACTTTGCATACATGTCCACCAAGGCATTCCCCACAAAAACATCCTCAAACAACCCACTCCTAACTGCGAAACCATGCACCTGTTTCCCCCACATCCAGGCGCCCATAGATGCACACGCAGGAAGCGCATTAACTACACCAACAGCATCGGGGCTACTACCAAACTCATTAATCATTCTATCAAACATTATTATCGTACTTTCAGCATCTCCGTTCTGCGCATACGCAGCCATGACTGAATTCCACGAAATAACATCCCAAACTCTACTCTCAAGCATTTCATCAAACACCTGGCGGGCATCATCCAGTGTCCCGCACCGGCCATACATAGCCACAAGTGCATTGCAAACGAAGACGTTAGAATCGAAGCCACCAGAACAAACAAGAGCGTGAAGCGACGCACCTCGACGAAACGAGGAGAGCTCACCACAGGCCTTAAGAACGAAGGGGAAAGTATAATGGTCAGGGCGCCAGGCAAGTTTCCGCATTTGAGAGAAGATGCGAAGAACCTGATGGAGGAACCCGAGGCGAATGGAATCGCGGATAAGGACGTTCCACCAGAAGACATCGGGAGGAGAAGGAGGAAGTTGTTGGAGAAGCGAGAGGGCGAGGTGAGGGGAGTGTAAGGAGAGGTAGGAGGCGACGAGGTGGGTGGTGAAGTGGTGAGTAAGGCCTCGGGTGAGGATTTGCTGGTGAACGAGTTTTGCTTGAAGAACAGTCTTGCATTGGCGAAGGAGAGTTAGGGTTACAGAAGGAGGAGCTGTAGAGAAGAAGAGTTTGGATTGAAATGGAAAGTGGTGGGATTTTGGGTTCAGGCATGCAAAGGAACGGCGCATGCTACGATTGATGTCTTGTAGACTGTAAGTTCCAGGGGATGCATTTGAAATAATTTGAATATGCAACAAATGATATCGTCGTAAATAAATAAAAAAAAATTATAAATTCTTAAAATATCTTATAAAATAAATTTAAATATAAATTATAATAAAAAAATATTTTTACGAAAGCACAGACAAAGACTTTATTTTTTTTCTCTTTTTCGATAGTAATATTTATAAGAATAAATGTGAATCAAATCTATATTTGATTTGAAAGAGATTGTCAACAAATTCTTTTAAAATTGATTATTTATATTTGTGGTAGA